TTGTTAGAGTTGACCGTGGTTTGACTTTTGTGAAGACGACTCTGGAATAGAGTTTTGATGGCTCCAATAGCTCCGTATGATGATTTTAGACTTAGAAGAGCGACCGAATGTGGATTTGGAGGTCCGCATAGTTTTTTTTCTTCTCTTCTTTTTAGAAATAATTTTTACTGGAAGATGAAATCGAAACTCGAATATTCATAGACGCTACTTTCTCCCATGTTTCCTTTCCCGATTAAAAGTAAACACAAACAAATAAAAGGATAAATATTCTAATTTGTGAGGAAATAAATTGATTGGACCATTAACAATTAGAGCTTGATACTTGGAAAAACATGTTGCGGAAGCCGAATATATAGAAAGTGATTAAATCACAACTACTATATCTAAACGAAGCTAATAAATAGTAAATGAGACAAAAATAAAAAGAACACCAGAAATTAACGATGTTCGGCAAAATTTGATTTGTGCATAGTCCTCGGACACAATCAACTCAAACTTTATTTTACTCCAAAAATACAAGTGAAATACTACAAGAGAGAAAGAAGATTCAAATGCCTTAGGAGATAAGAAGGCAAGTGAGAGATGTTTTCAAATGAACAAAACCCTTGCTATTTATAAAAGGAAAATGACCTTAATAATGTCATGCATGACATCATATTAAGTGTGATCATGCAATATAAATGCATAAAAAATACATCTACCAATTTCTTCCTAAAAGGAGGCTTCAAATATTCATACTAGTTCATATTAATCTTGTCAAATTCAACAAATCTCCACCTTGACAAGATTCCACTTTTTCAATTTTCTCTCACCGATAAATTTTGATTGTGTCTTCAACTTCAATCTTCAATCTTCAAAGGTCAACAATGTTGATCAAGTTCAAACAATGTTGAAACTTGATCGCAGTCACTACTTTTTTTAGCATATCAGCAGGGTTGTCTGTAGTCCGAATTTTCTACACCATGACTCCACCTTCTTCTATAATATCTCTTATAAAGTGATATCGAACATCAATGTGCTTAGTCCTTGCATGATAAACTTGGTTCTTTGCTAATTGTATAGCACTCTGACTGTCAAAAAATAATGTGATGCTTTCTTGACCAATACCAAACTCTCTAAGCAACCCTTGAAGCCAAATTGCCTCCTTTACAACCTCTATAATTGCCATTTACTGTGCCTCAGTTGTAGACAACGCAACCGTTGACTGCAAAGTAGACTTCCAACTAACTGGTGCATTTGCAAAAGTAAAAACATAACCAGTAGTTGATCTACACTTGTCCAAATCACCCACATAATCTGAGTCACAATAGCCAACGCGATATTGACTATCTTCCTGCTCAAAAATCAATCCAACATCTACAATATCACGAATATACCGTAGAATTCATTTCACAGCTTGCCAATTCTCCTTTCCTGGATCATGCATATACTTTCTTACAACTCTGATAGCATGTGAAATATCAGGTCTTGTGCAAACTATTGCATACATTAAACTACCAATGGCTTTCGCATATGGTAATCTTGACATATACTCTCGTTCGGCTTCATTTTTCGGCGACTTAACATTACTAAGCTTAAAGTGAGGAGCAAGTGGAGTGCTAACCGACTTCGTGTTGTCATTCATGCCAAATCGATCTATTACTCTTTTCAAGTATTTTTTCTGAGATAGATAGAGTTTCTTTGAATGTCTATATCTTTTTATCTCCTTGCCAAGAATTTTCTTCGCCTCACCCAAATCCTTCATTTCAAACTCCTTTCTTAGTTGAATCTTCAACTTCTCAATTTCCTCTTGACTTTTGGAAGTTATAAACATATCATCAACGTATAGGAGAAGATATATGAAGGATCCGTCTTTAAGCTTGCGCAAATATACACAATGATCGTATTTGCTTCTTCTGTACTTCTGCCGCAACATAAACTTGTCAAATCATTTATACCATTGTCTAGAAGATTATTTCAATCCGTTCAACGATTTTTTAAGTTTACACACCATATTTTCCTTTCCAATAACTTTGAATCCTTCTGGCTGAGTCATATAGATTTTCTCTTCCAAGTCTCCATGTAAAAATATAATTTTTACATCTAACTGAACTAGTTCCAAATTTAACTGTTCTACCAAAGCCAACAAAACTATAATAGAGGAGTGTTTCATGATTGGAGAAAACACCTCATTGTAATCAATTTCCTCCTTTTGAGCGTACCCTTTGGCCACCAATCTTGCTTTGTAGCGAACATCTTCTTGGTTAAGAAATCCTTCTTTCTTTGTAAATACCCATTTGCACCCAATTGCTTTCTTGCCCTTAGGGAGATTGGCCAATTTTCATGTGCAATTCTGATGAAGAGATTTCATTTCTTCATTCATGGCAATCCTCCACTTATCTTCTTCTGAACTTTGGACTGTGTCTTTATAAGTGGGAGGAATACCATCAGCTACAATTGAGGCCGCACAAGCCACCATCTCTATGAGATGAACATATTTCTTTATTGTTCTTTTTGGCTTGCTGGTTGCTATTGATTCAAGTTGTTGTTGGGGTTCCTGAGTTGGAATCTCCCCTTCCACTGACTCTTCTTCCATAGGAAAATCTTCTATTGTTTCCTCGTTTTCTCCCTGTGTTGGGAAAATTAATTTTCCCTCAAACTCCACCTGCTTTGAAGCACCATCAGTTTGTTTGAATCTTCAACTGTCACCTTATCTGTTATGGAAGAATCATCAAAGGTAACATCTCTGCTGAATATAATTTTTCTTGTCTCTGGACACCATAATCGGTATCCTTTGACTCCAGAAGTAATCCCTATAAATATAGCTTTCTTTGCTCTAGCATCCAATTTTGACTCTTTCACATGATAGTATGCAATTGAGCCAAATACATGCAAAAAATTATAATCTTCAGCAGGTTTTCCATACTATTTATCAAATGGTGTCTTGCCACCAATAGCAGCAGATGGTAGACGATTAATGAGATGGCATGCATATGTTATTGCCTCAGCTCAAAATTCTTTGCCCAAGCCAGTATTGAACAACATATACCGAGCCTTCTCGAGTAAAGTCCGGTTCATACGTTCTGCCACTCCATTCTGTTGTGGTATATTTCTGACGGTGAAATATCTTAAAATGCCATCATCTTCACAAATCTTATTGTAAAGATCATTTTTGTATTCTTCACCATTATCTGTGTGGAGACACTTTATCTTTCTGCCTGTTTGAGTCTCTATCATAGCCTTCCATTTGAGAAAAATTCCCAGTACCTCATCTTTGGTTTCCATAGTATACACCCACACTCTCCGAAAAAAGTCATCAATAAAGGTTACAAAATAGTGTTTCCCACCTAATGAAGGTGTTTTGGAAGCACCCCAAACATTAGAATAAGGTGACAGTTGAAATTAACTATCCCAACATAGGGGCGGATTTACATATAGAATTTAGGTGCTTAAGCACCCATTGACCTCAACAGAGAGCATGTATACTTATACAGAAAGTTCAACAAAACTGTATAATAAGGCGGCAAGCACCCAAGAAACATAAACTCTTATGGGTGCTTTGGTTAAGTTATGGTGCTGGAGGTTTTATAGGAGTAAAGGGCCAGAGATCGAATCCTGCTCCAAACAAGCCCTTTTAACCCAATTTGGTCTTCTTCGTTGTTCACTTACCAATTTTTGACCCAATGCTACTTATTCTTTTTTTTTTCTGACTTTTATTTTACCTTTTTTTAATTTAGTGTTTTTTACTTTATCCGATTCACTAGCAAAAAAAGAAAAAGAAAATCTGCTTTAAAAAGGGACTTCAAAGTTCCAACCCTTTCAAGGTGAACCGTTCCTCCAAGACGGCAAAAACCACGAATCTTTTTTCTCACCGGTTGTTATTTCATCACAATTTCATGACATATCATAAATATTAATACTATGTATTTTCTCACTAACTAAGTTTTATCGTCAAAGAAAAATTTTAAGCACCCACAAACTTAAAATCCTGGATCCGCCACTGTCCCAACATGTTTACCAAACAAATCACTATCTTTAGGTTTGATACGACAATTTTTTCATTTAAATATCAAATCCCCGTATACGGGGGAAAATACAATTTTCTACACAAAATAGAGGGCTTAACTGCAAAAGTGAGAAATTATGGGACGAATATTAAGAAGAAGAGCCCGAAACGTCTGAAATTGATCACTTCTTTTGCTCACAAGTTACAAAGTGTAAAAAAATCCAAACATTCTTTTGACACACTGATCATGGGAAATACACTACAAAAAAACCAAGAACATGAATTGCCAGTGACAGAAGAACCAGATGAACCTCAATCATTCACCTGCAAAATTTGTGTCGAGCCTATGTTGTTACCCAACAAGAAATTCAAGAACCAAAATCGCTGTATTCATCCATTCTGTATCGACTGTATAGTAAAATACATCTCTGTCAAGCTAGAGGATAATGTCGGGGACATTCCATGTCCTTCTCTGGATTGTAACTAGTTTTTTGACCCAATCTAATGCGACTGCAATGGAACAGTGCAATATTTGGCGAGAAGAAGGAAACTAGCTAAACTAAGCTAAATTAAACTAAGAAGTTTTTATTCTTGATAAACCCTATCAACTATTACAATAGATATAGATGATGAAAGCTGTAAAAGGATAAAAGTGTTGAGCAAGGAATAGTACGAGTTCCTTTGCCTAGCTCTCCTGCCAGTAACTGTATTTGCAGAGGATGAAATCTGCCCGACAGCTAATTGTCCAGGGACTTGATTGTAATACTAAAAACTTGTAAAATAAAAACACTAGGACTTAAGTGTTAATGATAAAACTAGACTTCTCCCTCTTTACAAACTGATTCCAATGACTAGGTGCAACTCCGCAAGCAGAAGGTACCATTCCTCTGTTGTGATACGCATCATTTCTCCCTTCTTGAAATCTTCCTTGTCCTCAAGGAAGAAAAGCTGAAAACCTTGTCTTCAAGACATAATAATCCTCCTAGGTAGTTTGATCTTCAGGCATCTGCTCCCATTACACAAGAACTTGAGCTATAACTTTGTTCCTCTTTTTGATCATTCTTCTGTCGTGTATGGACTTAGGAGTAGGGCAGTAAGGGCTGGTAATGTCCATGACTGGAGGATGAGTTATATTATCAGGGACCTTGTAGCATGGTTTTAGGAGGGAAACATGAAAGGTGAGGTGTATGGTGATGTTGGAGGGAAGGCTCAATTTGTAGGCAACTGCGCCAATTTTCTGAATGATTTGATAAGGTCCATAGTACTTGGCTGCTAGCTTTGAAAAGTGAGTGGTAGACAGGGTGAATTGCCTGTAAGGTTGAATCTTTAAGTAGACCCAATCACCCACTTGGAACTGCCTATCTGACATGTGATGGTTAGCTTGAGAGATCATCCTTTGTTGAGCTTGATTAAGGTGGTGCTTGAGGAGCTGTGTCTTGAATTCTCTGGCGATAAGACTCATGTCTACTTGTTTATCAACAACATCTCCAGGAAGGTAAGGTAAATGTATAGGAGGGGGTTGTCCATAAAGAGCTTCATAAGGGGTGGTTTGGGTAGCATAATGGTCTGTGGTATTGTACCACCACTCAGCGAAGGGCAAATACAAGTACCAGTCCTATGGAGCATCAGAACAATAACATCTTAGGTAGCTCTCCAAGAACCTATTAAGAACCTCAGTCTGCCCATCCGATTGGGGATGATAAGCAGTAGAGGTGCTTAAAGTAACTCCATGAGCAGAGAAAAGCTCTTGCCAAACTTTGCTGACAAACACTAGATCTCTATCACTAACTATATTCTCAGGCGTACCATGTAGTTTGTAGACATTATCCAGGAATAATTGAGCTATGTCTGCAACTGTATAGGGGGTGAGAAACTCCCACAAAATGGGCATACTTGGTTAACCTATTTACCACTACCCAAATTACTGATTTGCCTTTGGACTTAAGTAGTCCTTCCACAAAATTCATGCTAATACTTGACCAAGCAGTGCTAGGAACCGCCAGGGGTTGTAGTAGACCTGGGTAAGGAGAGCTATCATATTTGCTCTTTTGACAGACAACATATTCTTTAACATGTGTAGTAACATCCTCCTTCAATGCCTTCCAATAAAATAATGATGCCAGTTTTCAGTAAGTATTGTTGGTACCTGAGTGACCTCCTATAGCAAGGTCGTGCCATTGCTGAATCAGATCCCTTCTTAATTCTGCATCATTTCCCACAACTAGCCTCCCATTCTTCCTTAAATGTTGTTTATCATAAGAATAACCATTGTTTCCTTCTTCCTTGCTCTGTATCTTCTTGATCAATTCCTGCAGCTCAAGATCATTCTGCCAGCTTCCAATGATTCTTTGGAACAAGATTGCCCCAGCATTGTTGATATGTAGTGCAACTAGCTCAGCTTCAGGCAGTCTAGATAGTGAGTTTGCAGCCTTGTTCTCCCTTCCTTTCTTGTATTCAATAGTAAAGTCAAATTGTATGACCTTGGCTATCCATTTCATTTGAGTTCCTGTGTGTAACTTTTGCTCCAAAAGAAACTTAAGTGCCTTTTGATCAGTCCTTACTATGAAGTGCCATCCTGTCAGATACTGTGACCATTTAGTGATAGCCAACACCAATGCCAAGAGTTCCTTATCATATACTGATAAAGTCTGATGCCTACGGGAGAGCCCTTTACTGATGTAGGCTATAGGGTGTCCTTTCTACATCAAGACTGCTCCTATTCCAATATCATATGCATCAGTCTCTACTATGAACTGTTGAGAGCTATCAGGCAAAGCCAATACAGGAGCAGTAACCAAGGCTGTATTTAGAGCTTCAAAGGTTGTGGTAGCCTTATCACTTCAATGACAATTGTCCTTCTTCAATAGATCAGTAAGGGGTTTTCTAATCACCCCATATCTTTGTATAAACCTTCTATAATATCCAGCCAGCCCCAAGAACCCTCTTAGCTGCTTAATAATGGTTGGAATAGGCCAGTCTTGTACAACAATAATTTTTCTGGGATCAGTGGCAACACCATCAACAGAGATAAAGTGGCCAAGGTATTCAACATGCTGCTTCCAAATGAACACTTGGTTTCTCTTGCAAAGAGCTTATGTTTCACTAATAACTTAAATGTTAGCTTAAGGTGTACCAGGTGCTCCTCCATGCTTTTGCTGAACACTAGAATGTCATCAAAGAATACTAAGATGAAATTTCTCAAGTACTCTTTGAAGATGTGGTTCATAAGGCCTTGGAAGCAAGAAGGGGTATTAGTGAGCCCAAATGGCATCATCAAGTACTCATGTGAGATGAAGAGTACCTTGATACATGCTGTAAGGCCTGATGTTAATTGGGTTACTACCAGCATCTAAAGGTATTCTATAGTCGAATAGTCCTCTAGAAGGTGGAAGCCCAGAAGGTTCTGAAAACATAACCTGGTACTCTTCTATAAGATTCCCGATTCCTGTTTCTATCCCTGCAGATTGAAGGATTTTTACATCTTTAGAATCCTCTGTAGGCAGGACTCTCACCATGAATAACTGAGCTTCATCTTCAGCCATATTTCCTAACGGTTCTAGCATCCACTGTCTTGAGTCTAGCATCATCACCTTGTAGCAGGTGATTCTTTCCCTGAAGCTGGAATTCCATAGTGGGTTAGGTGAAATTCATATTGATATCTCCAAGAGTTTGAAGCCATTACACTCCTAGTACCATGTCACATATTCCCAAGGTCAGCAACAACAAATCAGTTTGGAATGTGGTTCCTTGTAGCAACCATTTCAACCCTTTACATAATGACAGGTTGATGATTGACTTTTTGGACTTAGCAACTAAACCTCTTAGCTACTTCGCTATCAAGGAAGTTGTGAGTACTTCCCATGTCAATCAACATACTGACATAACCCTTCTCAGTGTAGCATGTGGCTCTTAAGGTGTGGAAGCCAGTTACCCCATTGAGTGCATTTAATGAGATGGTTACAGGATCAACTTCTCCTCTTGCTTCAACTTCCTTACTAGTTTCACAGACTTCCTCTTCTTGAACCTATTTACATACAACTGCTGACTATCATTTTCAAGTTCCATTCCTTCTTCCATTTCCAACAAAAATAGTTGTTTGTTGGTATTACATTTATGTCCTAGAAAGAACTTTTTATCACAAAAGTAACAAAGACCTTTTAGTCTTTTCTCATTAAGCTCAGCCGGTGTCAACTTCTTTCCTCTGCCTTTGTTCCACTAGGAGTTGGGTTCTGGAGGCTTATAAGATGTTTTGGAACCTGGGTATGGGACAATGGAGGTGTTCTTTGAGGTTACAAAAGTGGTGGAAGAAGGAAAAAGGTCTTATGGTTATGTGTTAAGCTTGGTAAGATGACTCGTGTAACCTGGCTAGGTAGTAAGCTTGAGGTAAGGAATTTGGTCTGTGGGCTTTGACATTATCTCTGTATTCAAGCCTAAGACCAGCTATAAAGCAGCTGATGGAATACTCCATTGGCAAGGATAACCTATTCATGGACCTATCAAACTGGTCTTTGTAGTCTTTCATAGCTCCAGTTTGAAATAACAACTTGAGCTCAGCCATATGATCATCATACTCCGCACCAAATCTATCGATTAAGGCATACAAATACTTATCCCAGCTAGGATAAGGTAAGTGCATTCTACTTTTCATATAAGCTTGGTGCCATTCTATAGCAACTCCCTCTAAATGAATGGAAACCACCTTAATTTTCAGAACATGATGAATTTCTTCTAGAGAGAAAAATTGCTCAATCTTATAAAGCCAAGATCTGAGATCTTTACCATCAAAATGAGGAAACTATAATTTCCCTAATCTGGATAGAGTGCTTGCGTGTGTAACACCATGAGAATCTCCTTTGACAACAGATCAATTATATCCTCCTAGTGCTCGCATAGGCTGATTTTGTTGAGTTCGTGTGCCTCCGAGATTGGCCCCAACACCTACTGATGGAGACGGTACCATTCCAGGTCCAGTAACTCCAGGATGGTTCAATGGTTGATTAGAAGGTGGATTAGAAGAGCTTTCAATAACCTGCGTTCCATTTCCTCCAAAGGGTCCAACTGTTGGTGAATAAAGCTCAACACCTAGATATTGCTCAGATTAGCTCTTACCCTTATCCTGCTGCCTTTGTGAAGCTTATACTGTTTCTCTCAGCTCGTTAAGGGCCTTATCTCGATTCTTTTCCATCGGATTTTTTCGCATCATGATGTTTGCTATTTCCATCGAAAGCCTTTCAACAACATCGGGCAAGTTTTTTATATCAGAAGCCATTACTCACAGTCCAAGAGCAATGCTCTGATACCAAATGATGCGACTATAATGGAACAGTGCAATATTTGGCGAGAAGAAGGAAACTAGCTAAACTAAGCTAAATTAAACTAAGAAGTTTTTATTCATGATAAACCCTATCAACTATTACAATAGATATAGGTGATGAAAGTTGTAAAAGGATAAAAGTGCTGAGCAAAGAATAGTACGAGTTCCTCTGCCCAGCTGTCCTGCCATTAACTGTATTTGTAGAGGATAGAATCTGCTCGACAACTAAATGTCCAGGAACTTGATTGTAATACTAAAAACTTGTAAAATAAAAATATTAGGACTTAAGTGTTAATGACAAAACTAGACTTCTCCCTTTTTACAAACTGATTCCAATGGCTAGGTGCAACTCCGCAAGCATAAGGTACCATTCCTTTGTTGTGATACGCATCACAATCTCTTGTCAGAATCTCGTGGGTCCACAGTTGTTTGTTAAATGATGGGATGTATTGTGTGAGTCCGTTGTTTTAGGGTTGGATCAGAGTTACTATCCGAATTGGAATTGTTCGTCTTTGATTTTGGATGAGTGTGGAGGGAATGCGAAGCGATCACAGTGTCCAAATTGCAAAAGGTTTTTTTGCTTTCAGTGCAAACTTCCATGGCACGCTGGATATTAGTGTGAAGAGAGTCGGGATTAAGGGATAGAAACGACGTCACTTTTGGTGTGCTTGCCAAGCTTAATAAGTGGAAAAGGTGCCCTCAGTGCCGCCGCTTTGTTGAAAAAACTGAAGGTTGCAAAATTGTTAAATGCAAGTAAATTATTTGTTGTTTACGTTCCTGTTCCCCCTTTTTACATAAATCCTCTTTATCCTTTGGTTAAGGTTATATGATAGTAGTAATATAGAGGTATATGCAAAATCTAATCTTGTAGAAAACAAAGTAAAATCTAATCTGTAATTGGGATGGATTTATAACTTCTGGAGTTTTGATTATATTGGAGTCTGGATCTTTTGCAATTTTTTTTGGTATTTAATGGCAAAATTTTGCAAATCCTAATAGTAGTGCTTCTTTTATATTTGTGTGAGAGACTCTACTAGACTGTAAGCCTCGGTGTGATTTTAGTATTAAGAATTACTCGGTAAAGTTTTCTTTTTGGTTGAAAAGAATCAGAATGAAACAATTAATCATGGAAATTACATTACAATATATAATAAGTGAAAGTTTGTGGTACTACTAAAGATATTTTTGTAAATTACTGCAATGATATTTGTAGAACTTGGATCATTATATTCAAACACCCACTGAAGGAGGACCACATGGGTCCTTTTGTTCCCCACGCGTAATTTTTCATATACGGCTTCTCCACTTACTTTTAACCTGTTAGGCCAAGTTTCTTCAAGTTCAAAAAAAAAAAAATATTTTTTTCAAATTTTAAGTGTTTGACCAAGCTTTTAGGAGAAAAGAAAGTGCTTCTGAGGAGAAACAGAAGCAGTTTTGGAGAAGCAGAAAAAAGTACCTTTTTCCCAGAAGTACTTTTTTAAGAAGCACTTTTGAGAAAAATACACTCATAAGCAATTTTTAAAAACTTGGTCAAACACTAATTGCTGTTTAGAAGTATTTTTTAATTAATTAGTCAAACACAAACTGCTTCTCATCAAAAGTACTTTTGAAAAAAAAAACACTTATCAAAATAAACTGATTTTTTCGGCTCCAAACGGGCTACCATCAATCGTATTTAGGCTTTTCATTTTTTAATTGTCCCGGGACTTTTCCTCTATGGTTTCCTTCCAAACTGCTTAGATCTCCTTCTACTTCCGATTCTTGGCTTAAATTTTTCTTCTTCTTCCTCGTCTTTCTTTTATCCATAATTTGTTAGAATAATGTGGCGTTCCCTTTAATTTTTCCCAGCCATCTGTCTATTTCAATTTTTGCAGGGTTGTTCTTCGTTTTTCTCTTTATTATGCCTTTTCTTATGCTTTTTGTTTTGCAGTTTTCGTCTTCTTATTTTAGGATTTAGTCTTCCCTTATTTTGAGTTGTTCTATGTGTTGCATGTGTTAGCTATGTCTTGGGATGAATAGTGAAAGTTAATTTATAGTGGTTGCTGCATGTAAATTTGGTCTTCCTATCTACTGTTTGTGAATGAAATTTAGGACACCTCCAACTTTTGGGAAGTTTAATGTTGATTGCTTACATGCATGTCAATAATTCTACGGTTGGGTTTCCTTTTTTCCTCAAAATTGTATTTTCCTATATCTGATGAGGTTGCGACTGCAGTGAATAGTATTTCGCTATTTTCGTTTTTTATGCTGAATGTCTGTTGGTTTTCGAAGATGAAGCTCAATTGATATTTTTGCTAAACATATTAATTCTAATTTTCATTCCATTGTGTTTAGGTGACTTCACTTGCCCTCAGATTTCATTCCACTAATTACTCTTCCCTAATTTCGCTAATTGAATAAATTACAGATTTTGGGATTATTAAATTTAGTCATGCATGCATGAACCTGTTGTGTTTTCAGGGGACTGGAGATATATGTTGTATATTTAATCTACTTTTCTTGATTGATGTGATAATAAATTGAAGCAAAACTTCCTCAGTTCGCTGTTATTTCCTTTATACTTTAATCTACTTCTTTTGTTTCTTGCGGTAAAGTTCCTTTATTCGCTACTTTTCCGTGTTGTATGTGTTTACACCCAATTTTGTTCACCCTTTCTTCCAATTTACTTCTTTGAGGAGTCACTAGTTCGCAAGGCCAAAATATTATTTTTACTAATATTTCATGCTAAAAGATATTATCTGCTTTATTTTATTTATCTCTTGCGAAAGACATTTTTATTATTCTGTTTGTATTTTCTTCACTTCTACTGTTTATGAATATTTAAGCAACTAATTTCAAATTGTCGTTTATCAAAGCTCATCAAATGTTGGACAATGATGTTTCATGCTCAAGCATTTTACAACGTATATTCACTTTATTAATTTAGTTTCGCTTTGTATTTACATGTTATTCAACGCCTATTTTAGTTTAATTAACTTTTACATGCTATCATTTCGAGACTACTTTCATTCCTTGACTCAGGTCAGTCTTCTATCGTGGCAACTTTCATTCCTTGTATGTGTGCTAGTTTACTTTACTTTGATACAATTTGTTTTTTTTTTTAATCTTTTCTCATGCAAATATCTTCTTCAAAAACTTTATTTATTGCTTTACTACCTTTTTTTCTTCTTTCTCAAACCACTTAGAGCTTCGCATGTGTTAATCATTTAATTCACTTGGAACAATATTAACTCGCATGTTTAATCGCTTAGTTTACATAGAATAATAACTCTTACTTTAGTTTAATTATGTAATAATCCCACTTAGTTTAAAATTCGGACGGGAACCATATTTGTGAACCTCGGAGAGTGCCTAACACTTTCTTTTCGAGGTAACTTGAACCCTTACCAGATCTCTGGTAGCACGGACTAGTTAAAACAGAGTTATCTGTAAATATGTGCCCTAATGCACCTTAAAAATCGTTAGATGACGACTCTTATCTTTTATCACCCATTTAAAAGAGTTGTCACACGTCGAACCTCGCTTTCGTGAGAAAACGAAAGTATGCTTAAATAACGAACCAGCATTCGCTGAAAACATATTTGTAGGTACTTCATCTAAAGTGTACTTGATATATGTAATTTTTCCTGCAAATTATCGCACATATTTTCCTCCGTTCAGCTAGAATTAATGGTTACGCAATTCTAATTTCAAAGGCTCTTCAGAGTGAAATTTGCTCTAGGGGGAAATGAAAACAATACTGCTACACCAGGTAATTTTCGCA